TCAGAGAAGCGAGCCCACTCGCCAAAGTATGAGTATGCACGGACACGTCAAGATTCTCCATCTTCCAGCACGAAGGCAATCTTGACTGGAGCCCTTCAGGCCGGAAATCTGGCACAGCATTTGCCCAGTGTCGAAGTCGAGCTACTTGCCCTGAATATGAAACTTCATCCGAAGCTCTTTTTGAATGCAACTCATCGAAACTCTTTGTTGTTACAGGCACGGCACCACACCGTGCCACCATGAAGCGAAAAGAGCCAGGCTTCTGACGCTAACTGCATGCGTTCCATGCCATCGCGCGCATCATTTACAGCTAAGATGCGGTCATCCACCCGCACTCCCCTATCTGGCGTAGGTGCCGTTGTGAGCAGGCACTCCTCCATCTTAACAAATCGACGTAATGATAAGTTATTGCCTGCCAGATGGCCTTGGTATCAAATCAATGCCAATCGCGTGACCCGAAACTCCGTCAATGACAACTTCAAACTCAGCATACTGTTGCTGATGCACAGATCCGTCCAAAGATGTGGCTAGGTATCCAGGGCTTGCGCCAAATGGGGACAACTCCAAATACGTCGGGCTTCAATGTTTGGGGTTGTCTCACCCGAAGCGGCAATCTCTCCAAGCATCACGTCCAGACTCGTTGAAATTCATTGTATCAATCGACTTAAAAGGTTGAAGATCCACTGTGCATGTGGATGCTGACGTCGCGATCTGCGAAAGGGCCGCGATTGTTTTTCGAACTGTTGAGGATGTGCCAGGCGAAAGCGCCAAATACATCGCAGACGGGAACGGACGGCTTGAATTAATCGCCCCTGAAATTCACTCCCTCTGAGAAATGCGTACTGTTATGCTCACACATCCATGGCGAGTTCCCGAAACGCTGACCCCAAAAGTGTTACCATCTCTTGAGGGCGCCGGCCTGCCGGCAGCTTCCGCTGGCGGAGCCGCCTCCGTCTTCCTTCTGCCGTCCTCCGCAGCCCTTCCGCAGCCTTCCGCCGAGGAAGAAATGCCAACTCCTTCGACCCTCGAAGGCGAGGCCCGTTCTGGAACCCGCCTCTTGTTGTTTGTTCTCTCTCTTTCTCTCTTTACCTCTCTCTCTCTCTCTCTTTTTTTTTTTCTCTCTCTCTCTCTCTCATATATCGGAGGTTGGGGGGTGAGATCGCAGTGGACGGAGACCCCCAACCGGGAAATCGTTTCGTTTCGTTCGTGTCGTGCGTGCGGGCGAGGCGGAGCTGCGTGGGCGCGCGAGAGGAATGAACGCGCCGTTGCCAGGACGAAGTCAAGACAAATGTTTCTCCTCCGTCCGTCCGTCCGGAGGTGACCTTAGCGGTGTCCCGTGGTGTCCCGTGGTGTCCCGTTGAGTGAGATCGATAGTGAGATTGATAATGAGATCGATACTGAGATCGATGTGGTGCCCCGAGGTGTCCCGTGGTGTCCCAAAAAGTGAGATCGATAATGAGATCGATAATGAGATCGACAGGTGTCCCGTGGTGCCCCGTGGTGTCCCGTTGAGTGAGATAGATAGTGAGATCGATACTGAGATAGATGTGGTGCCCCGAGGTGTCCCGTGGTGCCCCAAAAAGTGAGATCGATAGTGAGATCGATAATGAGATCGACAGGTGTCCCTGGGTGTCCCGTTGAGTGAGATCGATAGTGAGATCGATCGTGAGATCGATAGTGAGATCGATGTGGTGTCCCGAGGTGTCTCGTGGTGTCCCGCTGAGTGAGATCCATAATGAGATCGATAGTGAGACCGATAGTGAGATCGATGTGGTGTCCCGAGGTGTCTCGTGGTTTCCCGTGGTGTCCCGTGGTGTCCCGTTGAATGAGATCGACAATGAGATCGACAGTGAGATCGACAAGTGTCCCGTGGTGTCCCGTGGTGTCCCGTTGAGTGAGATCGATCGTGAGATCCATTGAGTCAGATGTTGATTCTCCCCCCCCTCCCCCCCCCACACAACCTCCTTGTCAGCCGAAGGGTGGTCGTATAGTATGTGTATATAAATACATACATACATATATGTGTATATACTGGAGGTGGGCCGAGGGGGGGAATGAAAGCGGGCAGGCCTTATCGGATGCAGCGGGGCTTCTCAGACGTCATCTGACCTTCCGCGAAGCCCTCGGACGTGCTCGGGAGCAGGCTCAGAAAATCTCCCCAGACGGCCGGAGGCCTTCCGAGCCCTTCTGAGAAGACCTGCCCCCTCTGCCCTCCACCCTGGGCGCACCGCCGAGTCCAGCTCGATCTCCGCCAGCGGATCGGAGAAGAATCATCGGGCCCTCAGGGGCGCGCTGCCCAGACCGCCGACGTCACGGCTAGTTGCATAACGTCGACCCGCAAAAGATCTCGACCCATTCCCCGGACCGTTGTTCCCAACCATCCTGTGGTGGTGGGTCCTCGTTTTGATGAGACAGCGCCCCGCGACCTCCTCATCCTCCTCTTCCTCTTCCTCCTCCTCCTCCTCCTTCTCCTCCTCCTCCTCCTCCTCCTCCTCTCCTTCCCCCTTTTCCAGCTCCTTAGTTCTGCTCTCCGCATCAGCCCACCAGTTTGGCACACCCCTCATACGTTTCGCGGCCCCACAATGAGCTCCACCGAAGGTCCCAGAGGCGTAGTTCGCATGCGTTCCCGCCGCCCATGTCGGCGCCCCTCTCACACGCTTCGTGGCCCCACAGAGAGCTGCACCGAAAGTCCCAGTGGCGCCGCTCGCACGCGGTCCCGCCGTCCATGCCGGCACACACATCGCACGCTTCGTACGTTTCGTGGCCCCACCAGGAGCTCCAGACAAGGTCCCAGTGGCGCAATCCGCATGCGGTCACGCACCCATTTCTGTACACCCCTCACACGCTTCGTAGCCCCACAGGGAGCTCCACCGAAGGTCCCAGTGGTGCAGCTCGCATGCGGTCCCGAACCGATTTCGGTAAACCCCTCACGTTTCGTGGCCCCATAAGGAGCTCCACCGAAGGTCCTATGGGCGCATCCCAATTGGGAGCTCCACCGAAGATCCCAGTGGCGCAGTTCGCATGCGGTCCCGCTCAGCCCCCACACGTTTCGTGGTCCCAGAGATAGCTCGAAGCGGAGAAGGATGAGGATCGAGAATGGACGATCGAGGAGGACGAGGAGGATCGAGGATCGAGGACCGATGAGGGTGAAGAATGAGGAGCGGGAGGATGAGAAGGATCCAGGATCGAGGATGATTGAGGATCGAGAAGGATGGAGAGGATGATCCAGGAGAAGTGAGATCGAGGATCGAGGGCCAAGGGGGGGGAAATGATCGACGAGGAGGATCGAGAGGCGAGGACCGAAGAGACGAAGGATCAAGCAGGATAACCGACGATCGAGGAGGGGGAGGATTGAGGAGGATAGGGAGGAAGGATGAGACTCCCCCAGTCGCCACTGAAAGTCTCCTCGCGGCGAGCTTCGCTGAATTATGTAAAAGGTTGCGTTGCGACTGGGGGGTGGGGGACGCGAAGCTCACTTCGTAACGAACGCGGGCGGGCGGGTCAAGGATTATTGCTCCCAACCAACTGATTTAACCATGTTGCCGTTGATGCGCCGTATGTGCGAACCCCAACTATTATTCAAAGTTCGCTTACGTTCCTGAGCGCCAAATCTTCTGAACGCCCGACCTTTGCTGAACGCCATACTTTTCTCTAAATATCACACTCAAATGCACTCACATGACCTATTTAAGTACAAGGTAAGCCACACATTGACGTACATGAGATTTGTGAGTAAGTTAGCATGGACATGGCAAGGATTTGCTAGAGACTTAGGTCCTGCGAAGTCCCCCACACGGCCCAAGGGCGGAAACAACCAAAAGCCTCCCGTCGTGATTTATTTCAAAACGAGGTCTGGGTGTGGCGGCGCCGGGCGTCCAAAAAGTCGACCCCGGGACAGAGCCTGAGGTGCGTTCCGACCAGAGCTTCGAGGCGGATGCAGCCGCGGCGACGACGGCGTCCCACGAGGCCCGCAAAGAGCCAAACAAATCCAAGAACCTCGAAACCTCGACCCTCGAACCTCTGGGCCCTCCCCATGTGTGGGTCAGCCAGCGCGGGCCAGGCGCGAAAGGATTGCCGTCCTGGGCCGTTCTTGTCACGGCCCCCCGGGCCGACCAAGGGCACCCCGGAGGGCGAGAATATGGAGAAGCCTCCCGTCGTCATCTGTTGGCGGCGAGCCCAGGGGAGGAAGTGAGAAGGGGCGGGCCTTCTCAAAAGGCTCGGAAGTTCCCAGCCCTTCTGACAACTTTGCTAAGTCTTCCCCGAAGACACAGAAAACTTCCTCAAAGGCTGGGGCGCTTCTGAGAAGCCCCGCCGCCTTCTGAGGAGGCCTTCTCCTTCTCACTTCCCCCCCTCGCTCGACGCCGAATCGTTCTACGACGCGAAGAAATCTGGGATCGGGGGTCAAAAAAGCCGACTCCCGCACCTGCCAAGGGGCGCGCTCCGACCAGGATCTCGAGGAAAAGCCAGCCGCGGCGACGAGGGCGCCTCAGGAGAGGCGCGAAGAGAACAAAAAAGACGCCCCGGCTCCACGAGCCTCGAAGCTCGAGGGGGGGTCTGGGATCTGGGAGGCGCGCTGCCAGCCCGGGGAAGGGCGCGGCGCCGGAACTCGGGTTCCTGGCGGGCCTCGCTGCTGGGTGCGTACCCGAGCGACAGGCTTGGGAATCTGCAGGGAAGAGGAGGGAGAGGAAGAGGAGGAGGAGGAGGAGGAGGAGGAGGAGGAGGAATAGGAGGAGGAGGAGGAGGAGGAGGAAAGGGAGGAAGAGAAGGAGAAGGACGGGGAGGAGGAGGACAAGGACAAGGAAGACGAGAGAGGTAGAGAGGAGGAGGAGGAGGAGGAGGAGGAGGAGGAAGAGGAGGAGGAGGAGGAGGAGACTTACGTCGCCTCCAGCGAGATTTACCTCGATATGAGCGGCTCGATCCCCGCAAGCCGATCGGAGACGAGCCGTCAGGCCCTCAGGGGCGCAAGCCAGTACAGGGCGGGCGAGAAGGAAAGCGGGCTCCTGGCGGGTCTCCTTGTTGGGCAGATACGAGAGTACCTTATCGATGGCTGGGCGGAAACCCATGTCCAGCAGCTGGTCGGCCTCGCGGGGAGAGGGGCACTCCTCCTCCTCCTCCTCCTCCTCCTCCTCCTCCTCCTCCGCCTTCTCCTTCTCCTTCTCCTCCTCCTCCTGCTGTTAAACCTCCTCCTGCTCCTCCTCCTCCTCCTCCTCCTCATCATCATCATCATCATCATCATCATCATCATCATCAGCATCAGCATCAGCATCAGCATCAGCATCATCATCATCATCATCAGCATCAGCATCAGCATCAGCATCAGCATCATCATCATCATCATCATCATCATCATCATCATCATCATCATCATCATCATCATCATCATCATCATCCTGATCATCATCCTGATCCTCGTCCTGATCCTCCTCCACCTCCTCCTCATCCTGCTCCTCCCCCTCCTCCCTCCTCCTCCTCCCTGCTCCTACTTCTCCTTCTCCTCCTCCTCCTCTTGCTCCTCCTCCTCCTCCTATTCCTCCTCCCCATCCTCCTCCTCCTTCTCCTCCTCCTCCTCCTCCTCCTCCTCCTCCTTTCCTCCTCCTCCGCCTCCTCCTCCTTTCCTCCTCCTCTTCCTCTTCCTCTTCCTCGTCACCCTCCAACTTTATATAAAGTTGGAGGGTTATGTTACGAAATTCATTGGCTTCGTAACATAACCCTCCTCCTGCTCCTCTACCTCTTCTCCCCTTCTCATTCCCCTCCTCCTCCTCCTCCTTCACCACCTCCTCCTCCTCCCAAAGGCAACAGAAAGGCCGAGAAAACCAAACGAGCACAGGAGGAGCTACCGTGTTGAGTTTAAGTGTGGGCGCTTTTTGCAATGGCCCAAAGTGGCCATCTTGAAGCTTTGGAAGGATCACGTCCTGGAGCTCCAGACTCCAGACTCCTCCTGCTCCTCCTCCTCCTCATCATCATCAGCATCAGCATCAGCATCAGCATCAGCGTCAGCACCAGCACCAGCATCATCACCATCACCATCACCATCACCATCACCATCACCATCACCATCACCATCACCATCACCACCATCATCATCATCATCATCATCATCATCATCATCATCATCATCAGCATCAGCATCAGCATCAGCATCAGCATCAGCAGCAGCATCATCATCATCGTCATCATCATCATCAGCAGCATCAGCATCAGCATCAGCATCAGCATCAGCATCAGTATCATCATCATCATCATCATCATCATCCATGTCATCAATGTCATCGTCATTGCCATCAGCATCGCCATCACAATCAACATCATCGGCATCATCAGCATCATCATCCTCATCACTAGCATCATGTTCACCATCATCATCATCATCATCATCATCATCATCATCATCATCATCACTATCACCACCACCATCATCATCACCATCACCACCACCACCCTCATCATCACCATCATCATCAGCATCAGCATCATCATCATCATCACCATGTTCATCAGCATCGTCATCATCAGCAGCATCATCATCACCATTACCATCAACAACATCACCAGCATCACCAACATCATCAACACCAGTAGCACCACCATTACCATCATCATCATCAGCATCAACATCAGCATCATGACAATCATTATCAGCATCATCATCACCATCATCATCATCAGCATCATCATCATCATCATCACAATCGTCGTCATCAATATCATCGTCATCATCATCATCATCACCAGCAGCAGCAGCAGTAACATCATCATTCATTATCATGCCCCTCCTCATCATACCCAAGTCTCCGACGATATGTTCCGACCCCATCGGCGTTGTCTGACGCTTTCGTCGGTTCTCTGATGACTTTTGTGCCTCGGGGTGCTTCTCAGTGGCCGCGCCTCGTCGGGGGTGTCCTGGGTGTGCCCAGATCGTCCCGAAGGCCGCCGAAGGCCCGAGCTATGGCCTGCAAACCCAAAGCTCCGACGAGGTGATGTTTCGACCGGCGCTGTTTCCTCGACTCCGCCCCTCGAGAAGCCAGCGCCGGGCCCCGAGGCCATCAGGAACGGACCTTGAACGGGAGGGCAGAGCCTGGGGGGAAGTGCTCGGGAGGGAGGATCGAGGTGCCTGGGCGCTCTGGCTCGCCACCTCCGAGCCTCCTGGGGCGTTCTCGCCGCCGCGGCTGGACTCCCCTCGACGTCCTGGAGGGCAAGTGCGGGAGTCGATTCGTTGCCTTAGAGTAAGTCGGGGCGTGTCCCCCTACAGGGGGATTTTCGACGAAAAATGAAAAATACCCCAAAAATGCACCAAAATGGTCGAACAAAAAAATCAAAAAATAGTCCCCCGACTATTTTTTGCTATTTTTGAAAATTCCCCCTGTAGAGGGACAGGCCCGACTTCACCGTAGAGCCCAGGCCTCGTCGCGTCGCGGACCAGCACGACGGCAGAGCTTGGCACGCGTTCTCCCCCAGAGGGGCCCTCGGCTCGCCCGAGCTCGGCTCGATTCGCCCGAGCCTCGGCTCGCCCGGCTCGGCTCGCCCGGCTCGGCTCGCCGATTCGCCCGGCTCGATTCGCCCGGCTCGATTCGCCCGGCTCCAGTCCGTGCCCACCAGGCCTCCCTGAGGCCGTTCAGAGAAGACGGCTCGGGGTGAGGAGCCGGACTCTCGGGGGGACGACGTGGCCCAGCCTTCTGGGGGGGGGCTGCGCCGCGAGACGAGAAGCAGGACGTCGGGGCTCCAGGGAGGCCGGGGCGGGCGAGAGGGGCAGAGCAGAGGTCCGATCGGGCGCCCGGAAGCGTCGCGCCCCACGAATGACAACGGCGAAATGATAGGACAGGCCTGCCGTAACGAAGGAGGCCGGCGGCGAAGGTGAAACACTCGACGCAGCAGTTGCAGGCGTGCTCTGGGGAGGGGGAGGGGAGGGGGAGGGAAGAAGGAAATGGGGGTCAGGAGGAGGGCGACGCAGACCAGTGGATCTTGAACTCGGCATACTTGCTTTCCACACCTGCTGTCTTAAAAATGCGCGTACCAAGCTCCGATCCTCGCTGTTCTGCAAGAAAGTGGCAGCGCTGTCTGTCCACCAGGCTTCTCGACGACCGCGCAGTCGAATAGCATTTTCTGCGGTCCGCGCTAAGGCCAGGTGCGGCCAACTGCACGGATGCGCCGCGATTTGGGTAAAGAACCGCCAACGTGCACGGTCGATGCGCGCAACCCACTCTGAAACATTCACAAATAAGGATGTAAGCTTGAATGTTTCATGCACCCTCTGCCAACGCCCTCCCATGACTCTGCTGGAAGTGTGCTAAAACCAACAATCTTGCGCAACATCTGCATGCGCGCTGCTGCTATTCGCTTGCGCTGTTGCTGGGTGAGAACAGTCAGTAGCAACCATGCCACAGGCTGCGGTTGGCGTGACTACCGTGCTGAACAAGGTCACGCGTAGCTTCAACGGTATGAATGTTTTCCACCATACATAACGATTTACATAATACTGTGTCCATGCGCATTCCTGGCGGCAGTTCAGGTTGCACAAGGGGCTGCTCCCTCACGTCACCATTCTTCCTCACGAACAGACGTGCCCGTCGGAATGAAACAAACCCTGATTGCTCCGCGCAGGCAAAGAAGAGGTCATTGGTGAAGCCCTTTGTCTTGCTAGCGTTCAACGAAAGACCACAAGAGGCAAGGTCATCAATCAAGGAGCGGACACTTGCGGCGTACTCATCAGCCAAGCTCCCGTGTACAAAAATGGTTTCCGCGTAACGAATGATGCTGAACTGTTCTAGCCTTCCCACGTCGACTCCACTGTCGGGAAGGGGGCTTTTGAAACGCCCGATCGGGTCATCAAGCCCATCATTGACCAAAGGTGATGACAATCACCTCGCTTCACCCCGCGCGTGATGTCGAACAACTCACTGCCGTTGACCACGCCGTCTGTTGGTTGTAGATGTCGGAGGGAAGCCGCATATATGATTCGGGGCGACCTTGCTGGCCCAGCGCCTCGACAAGAGAGCGGTGCGCGATGCGATCGAAGGCTTTGGTGAGGTCGGCACTGACCACCCACATCGGCTTAGCCCATGCCCAGCATTGGGAGCAAATTTCTTCCAGCACGACAAATGCATCATATACGGACCGTTTCGCCCTGAAGCCCACTTGATCCTCGGGCTGTTCGGCATCGAGAATAGGCCGTAGTCAATACCATTCTCAAAAAGACTCTGCATGTATGCGAAGCGCTGCAATTGGGCGCCAACACTCTGCCTCCCATTGATCTCCAGACTTGGTAGCATCATGAAGAACGTCTCACGCCACGCAGGGTCCATGAATCCAGCGCGGAACGATGCATTCAGGCCTCCCACAAACAAATCGTTCAAGGCGCCTCTCCCGTGCAAGAACATATCATCTCATTCCCGCCAGAGCACAGGTCATTTACGCAAACGAAGAAGTATCCCAATGCGACCCTACCTAGGAATTGGAGCCTCTAGGAAAGCAGCAATAGTGGATGCCGTGCTGCGCCATGCTATGCTACGTTATGCTGTGCTGCGCTATGTTATGATATGCTAGGCGATGCTGTGCTATGATATGCTATACTGCGCTATGATATGATATGAATTGATATGCTATGCTGTGCTGCGCTATGCTATGATATGACATGCTATGCTATGATGTGATGTGTTATGGTATGCTGCGCTGTGCTATGCTAAGCACTGATTTGCTATGGTATGCTATGTTACGCTGCGTTATGATATGCTATGCTTCGCTGAGCTAGGATATGCTATGCGATGATTGGCTATGCTATGCTATGCTATGCTATGATGTGCTCATGCTGCGCTGCGCTATGATGCGCTGAGCTAAGCTAAGCTAAGCTAAGCTAAGCTAAGGTAAGCTAAGCTAAGTTATGTTAAGCGAAGCTAAGCTAAGCTAGGTTAGGCTAGGCTAAGCTAAGCTACGCTACGCTAAGCTAAGCCAGGCTAAGCTAAGCTAAGCTAAGTTAAGATGAAATAAGCTAAGCTACGCTAAGCTAAGCTAAGCTCAGCTAATCTAGGTTAGGCTAAGCAAAACTAAGCTAAGTTAAGCTAAGATGAGATAAGCTAAGCTAAGCTAAGCTC